AGCCATTTGTGTGTGATGAAATCTGAAAGGAAGAATCAATAAGAAAGCGAACCGTGCAGGTGTTCAAATTACTTCCCCCCACACCCGTCGTCCATATATCTTTCTTTGAAAAGCATTATTACGTGAAAATCTCGAAGTTTTATTTTTTGATGTTCCCGGTTGAAAATTTCACTGGCTGCTTTTTTATGCGATCCGTGTTATATTTGCAATACCTACGGGCGATCAACAAGTTTTAAATAATTTTAGCTATCTTTTTTTCCTTGTAAATATTTTTTTAAGTTTTAGGGACACGCTTCAGATGTATTCTACCAGGCAGGTGTTCCTCTCACGTCTTCTCAATGTGAGCAAAATGTGCAGATAAAAAGCTTTTACATACTGAGCGCCGCCTATTGAATTGTGGGGAAACAAATACCGCACTGTAGAAGCGATTGTTTCTTTTTTTGTGTGAAGAAAAATAAGTTCGACGTTAAAACTTGAAATTTTCGGAGAACAGCTCTTCTCAGAACGACATCTTGTCGCTTTCTGTTTTTTTTAGATTTTTTCTGCATTAAAAAAAATGCTGTTGAAAAGGAATGCTGAAAATGTTTAACGACCCGTTTTTGAAGCTTAGAAGAAATATTTGAAACATTAACGCGAAATCGAAGGTCATTCTTCTGACGAACTGATTAATCTATTTAGGTGTACAATTTTGTTTCCTTTCTGCTTCGATCCACATTTGTATTAAGATGCCAACATAATCTAGTGTAAATGGTCGATATAGGAGTCATGGGCATTTTTCTTTTCCAAAATTTTAATTGCTCTTGGCGAAATTCGTCGACTTATCTGTAACTGAGTTTTGCACTGTATCATCATCCCTGAATTTTTCTTCTGAAAACAATTGGATTACTCTGATAACGCTCAATTGTAAGAACATTACATATCAAGCGGCACACATATGTAGATATGTTCCTGGGAGGGACTTGCAGATCTTGACTGTTTTCTAATCTCGAACTAACCTAAAAGAATGAAATGAAATCCGGATTTTTAAAGCGAGAAGCTGTCTATATGTCTACTGCATTGAAGTAACCAGGTCTGATTATTTGTAATTCGACAAACATTGGCCACTTTTATCAAGGAAAGAGTCTTCATATAGTCCACACGAGCTGAAATACATTATGATTTGATCATTTATACTTTGCCCCCGAAGACTGCCCAGCGGAAACGTCAAGTACTGTAAAGTAATCATTTTCGTGGAAGACAACTTTTATCGTGCATAAACCTTCTCGACATGCAAATCTTCAGTTGATTTTTTTTCTTCAATTACGGCACGTGGCATAATATCCTTCCACGAGTACCGACATTAATTTGTTGATCGGTGAAAGTTCTCTTTTTTACGAGGGAGCACAAAGAAATGCTCATTNTTTTTTTTTTTTTCCACTGAGTCGTGATATAAAAGCACGTAGACTTTGCTTTGATAAGCATCAATGAGCTCTCGTGATAACTTCAATGGAGATGCCAGCGATGAATCGAAGCGTTCTGGTCGCTTCCCACGGTTCGAGTTATAATTGCTTACAGGCAAAGTACAGGGTTGAAACCTGGTTCGATGACTTTGAAGACCTGAACTGAAATGGTTCTCAATCGAGGCCCAGTACTACCGTAATATTTTAGAATGAACTCATCCAGAAATTCAAGAAACGTGTTCGGACGTGCTTCTAACTTTTCGCTGAAGTTATACTGAATTCAATGCCCTGCGAGGTACAGTAATTTTTTTTAACTTTAAAATCAAGTTCACGTTATCGGTACTCCGAAGATCTAAAAACTTCAAATGATGACAGACACGAGCGAATTTCACTCACTAAAAAATGTATTGCTATGTCTCATGATCCTGAAACTGGCGAGTGGGATTTCTGTGATCAAACGTGATTTCGATTGCAATAATTTGTTTTACTGTACAGTACGTAAATTCTATCACCATTTTTTAATGTGATACATACAAGGGATGCAAGGAACAGAGAATGACTATTTTCTTGCTTGAGGATACGGTATAATTCTAAAAATTATAGCGCACGAATTGTTTTTTTCAATTTCAAGATTTTTGACAGGATGATAAAGATGAAAAGAAATACATATTCCGGTGGTTGCAGAACTCAGCATACGTGTCCATTGCGGTATTGAAAATTTTCCTTTTTCTTTACTTTTATTATATAAATCATTAGGAAAACGATGATGTTATTTTTAATTATTTTCTGCAGCTCAACCGCATTCGATTCAGACATTCGCACCGTTCGGAGCAATTAGCTTGAAACCGACCAACTAGGCATTTTTCCATAGAAATTTAAATGTTCTTCATTTTAGCTTTTTTCTCCAGGATATACCGTATCTGGCGTATCAGTTAGCTAGTTCTGTACATTTTTAAGTAAAATTGATCAACTGTGGTTGAAAAGCGCTGACACGCGAGAAAAGAAAAACGGAATGCACATCACGCGGTGCAAATTTGTTTATTACAGGGCCTCGTTAGTACTGTAGCTTATTCTTTGAATCCAATGATACCATCAGTATACTGTTCATGCGTATGCCGAAGGTACTCAATCAAACACTCGATCATTTTTCCAGTACATGAGTCGGGACGAGTTGGTCGTCCACTCAAGTCAACGCGGTGGTCTTGATCCCGTGGGAGTCGCTGAGTAACTCTTTCTCGTCATTGCCGAGAGATGTTGTTGCGAATCGCTTAATGTCATCGAGAGCATAGTCGGGACGAGTTGGTCGTCCACTCAAGTCAACGCGGTGGTCTTGATCCCGTGGGAGTCGCTGAGTAACTCTTTCTCGTCATTGCCGAGAGATGTTGTTGCGAATCGCTTAATGTCATCGAGAGCATACACAGAAACGACAGGGTCATTCATCTCGGCGTAATACCATGTTTTCTGATGCATCAGGAGCACGCAAGTTTATATCTTTTTTAACGAGAAAAAAAAGAACCATCTGAGATGTGAATCAGAGTCTTTGGGAGTTGAAAATGTTGGCGAGAGTCACGCACTTGATCATTTTTAATGTTTCAGCAGTATTTTTTTTTCTGAAATTTAAAGAATAAACTTGCGAGATCATTGAATGCGAGGAAAGGATCGATTTGAACGCAAATGAACGTACGCACCATCTTTTGATATTCAATTTTGCTCTTCCGCTTTCTCAAGTTAAGAGGATAACATGAGATGCAAAATACGAGTTCCGTTAGTTGATTAGGCTGCTTTTCTGGCGAAAATGAGACTATCCCTGTCCTCCAAATCAATCCCTTTCAGGTCGTTCTTCACTTTTGAAAACAGCCAGAAGTCACAGCTGGGTTCCTAATCAACTAACAGAACTCGAATTTTTGCGCTGTTTTCATCGTTGTTGGATTTATCGCATGAAAAAATGCATTGAAATCGGCGGAGAGTATGTTGCACTAAAATGTTGCCAAGTGATGGGGCTATGCGATGTAAAAAAAGAAAATTTTTGATTTGTTGAAACTCCGTTGGATCTATTTCAAAAAGGCTCAAAACTTATGAACCAAATCCCGTAGGTGTCCAACTTATTCTCTTCATTGCAGAACGCGCACATAAATTTATTTTCTCGCAATCATTCACCCCGTTAAAACCATCGTCTAAAGTTGTACAACTCGTGTATGACACGCATCTTGATTTATTAATTCAAAATTTTTTGGGGGAAAAAGTTTACTTGGGACATGATTGAATGCGCGGTACCGTGCGAAAGGCGCTCTCCTTGTTTGCCCCTGTCTTGTCGGGTTTCGGGAAGTCGTATCTCACTGACAGACATTAGCATCTTCGTGGGCGACGAAGATGCTTCTCACGTGGGTGCTGTCGAGATTGTTTAGCAGATATTGAATAAAGCCCCTCTATATTTGCACTAATGTATATGGAAGAAACCAGTACTGAGTTCTTTCCTTCTGGTTCGGCTTTACGTCTTGCGGCATGATGCGATAAGGGCGATTTAAATTGTTACTGAAGATAACCGTGTTTAGAACGTTCGTGTAGGGAGTCATTAAACTCACTGGATAAAAGCAAGGTTAAGAGGATGAAAATTGAAAAGCAACTAGATTATAGACATGAAAGTCACGCGGAAAAACTCGCCTTTGCGACCAATCTTAGTACACAGATTAAATTTCATGAAACCGAATTATTAATTCCTCGGTATATCATCATTTTTGAGGCTGCCTTAAACAAACCGTTTATGACAAATGGAATCCATTTTCGTGTTGTGAAAACCACATGCTTTCAATACTACACTTCGCATTGTTCGCTATTCACTTAAGGCTTACGACTTCGAAAAAAAAAAGATCAATTATTACGAGTAAAAAAAAATTTCAATCAAATTTCGAATTTGTGCATTAATTCAGGAAGCGAAAGCAAAGTTTCGAGAAATGCGGCTCAAAAATCAAGGTACAGTGTATATTCCATAAAGGAAGTGATCGTTTGGTGGTTTTTCCCGGTTCATCTTCTCCCGTCTGAGTTTAAAATGAAGTATGCTTTAGGTCGAGAAACTCTTCGCGAATCAGCGCCGGAGTTCAGATCTCACATCCATCTTGGGCACGGCAATTCGAGAATTTCGTTCAAATCACTCATGCGTACTGAAAGTTTTGAAGCATCGCGAATGTTGATGAAGGCATTGAGGCAACCTCAACTTCCACTTCGTTGACTGTTTTATTGGATTTTGCATTCCGATGTGTTCTTTTATTTTCGTTCCTCTTTCTGTGTGTGCACTGAAAAGCCGTATTAAACGAGCGGTATTTTTTTCTCTCTCCTTTTGAGTCATGTCTGCGTAAATCATCGGTGGGTCTTGTTGCTTATTCCCCCTTCACTGTGCGCCGCATGTATTCTTTTGCCGGGTGTTCGCGATACTGTACTAGTGTACTGTATTCGTGCAACTGTGCATGTAACCGACTCGTCTGTGTGACTTCCGGACCATTTTCCCCGGAGTCAGTCTCTTTGTCGTCACTCGGCTCGGTTGATCAATGGACTACTGTACCTCCCATGGGTTCACCGAAACGCCACGAGGACTCCGCGTCCAGGATGAGCTTGAAAACTTCGTTCCACCGTCACACCCGTAGTTTGAAAAAGACCGTAATTTTTCATAGAATTGCGAGTGGAGGCAAGCACGTGTTTTTGTTTTACCCAGGAGTCCTGATGGTGGAAACAATTTCGCTGAAACTTATGAGGATCATTGGTATCTCGATATATACGTGCTCCGGGGCACAAGGACCGAATGGCTTTCCATGTTTGCCTTTCCATGGTCTGTCCGTGAGCCGGCAATTCCCGGGTGTAAATAGAGCGCTGTCGTCGACGTTTGCTGTGCTGTACTTTTATTTACTCAACTTTCGGAACAAATACGGGGTATTTGATTTCGTCGACGAGCGTAGGATTCGGAAATCCGAGCGTTCCATGAGACCAGCAGAGGGTCTTCTTTTGGCGTACACAGTGAATTCTGTAGAGTCGTTTTGGAAAAGCCTGCTGGCGAAGGATGAATCCCTTGCTTGCTCATGAGCAATAAAGTAGAAGTCCATCCTGTCGAGGAAATCGATTCATGCGGACATTTTCCGTGATAGGAGAGCTGTTGAATAGGCTTTTTGATCTGGAAGTGCGGGGATGTGATTTTGACGAGATGTACGGAGGTTTTGGTGCGCACGTGACCTTTTTTGACTGACATGAAATTTTGTTAATTTCCAGGTGACTGTACACATCGAGCCGCAACAGGGCAAGTTACAAGCTAAACGGAAAACGGCGTATGTGTGTCGATGGATCGGCTGCAAAGTCTTTGGCAGACCTTCGTATGCAGACGGATGGGTATCCAGGCACGTTCTTTCGGCTCACGGACGCGCCAAGCCGTTCATGTGTGTCTTTCCTGGCTGTTACCAAAGTTTCGGGTCAGAAGTGAGTACTTTTTTTTACCGTATCTATGCTATCATTGGGTTTTGAGAAAGTGGAGATGGCTCGTGGCCTAACGATAGTTTCCTTTTACTGGACTTCATGGAATTTTGTGATCGAAGAAAAATCGATGAACTCTTCCGAACGCTGTGTACTTCATGATGGTTATCTAAATCCACGCCTGGTTTCGCTTTCTGTATTGTCGAACGGGTATAGCTCATAATGGAAACTTGACTGAGTAGAACGAATTGCATTCCATCTGAACTGATCTCAACCCAAGTTAACTTTGCTGTCATTGAGGAAGATTTGATGCATGAACTCTTTGAAGGATGAACGTTCACAAAATGAGAGAACGTTAGGGTTTTGGCGCAAGTTTCCTTCGGATTGGAGAATTTAGGAACGCCCGCCAGATTCACGCACAGGTGACATCTGTAGTTCTATACAGTACAGAGAAATATCTACAGTGCTTCCAAATTCTGACGGAATACTCGCGCCGAAATAACTCAACTTGGAATTGGAGTACGGTAGCACAATTGTCATCGAGGGGGGCCTCTTTGCTTTCTTGGAAGTAACATTTGAAGTCGAATTCAATTCACGGGTACATTTCGTTTCTTCGTAGATTAACCTGAGGCGTCACGTTAACCTACACTGCGACAATGGAAGCGGGTCTACGAATGACGAGCGTGTTGGAGGATCAGTTTCGACCAGTTCGAACGCGGTCGGTCGGAAAAGTGCCGAATCTACGCCTGTAAAGAATGGAAAGAAGAACAACCGCAAGGGGATTCGGTACCGCAAGCGTCCGTGGTCCGGTGAGTAATGAAATCCGATTCGTTTTCTAGTTTATGTCTGCGCCTACCGCAAAGTTGATGAAATCCTGCGACGGGTATATACGTTACACTGGTTACAGTCATCATTTCCCTTCGCTCAGAATCTTGATCGAAGGGAGAACTAATTTCCCCATCGAAGTTGATTTTCGAGGCGATGGGTTAGTTTCACTGAAGGAACTGGGTGAGAGCAGAGAAGGGAGATCAATTTCAGGATGTCGTAACTCCATATTTTATTATCGCCGAGGGCTGACTTGCATTGGTTTTACGACTGGAATAGCGTTTCGTGTCCTTGATTCGCATGCGTAACGGCTTTCTGCGCACTTCATGGCGGACGACTTCATTTCCGCGAAAAGTAAACGGCAACGGGAGTTTTTATTTCTTCGTTTTTCTTGTCCACACGACATCAGTGTGCAAAGCATCAAATCGGCAGTTCAATTCCTCACCGCCACCTGTAAAATACCAAAGACTATAGAGTGTAGACGAGGAAATATGACGCGAGAGGGAAGCAATTGAGAATATTTCTGGGGGAAATTTGATCCTAAGAAAATACTAAACTGATTAATGCCACTAGTCAAAAACGACAAACTAGAAAATATAACCCCTCGAAAACCAAATACAGTAAAACTGGAAACAAAAGCTGATGTCGATACAGAATACGGTACATTCTATGGTAGTACAATATGCAGTATTTATCATTTGGTACAAAAGCCTCTTTTTTAAGTACGATGCATGCGAACTTTTTATCGGGGAAAGAGTGACTAAAATGAAGATGTCGTATGGCTCAAAAAGGCTCAAATTTTAGCAAGTTTTTGACATAAACTTCACAATTATTTTAAAAATTGAAGAAAAGAAAGTTTTGCTTTCGCCTACTTGTGTCTGTACACATTGTGAAAGTCTGGAAGGTCAAAGCACAACTTCATCAGAATTACTTGAATTTGAAACGTATTCATTTTAAATTCACGAATTTATGCGGAAAAAAAACAAAGGAAAAATTAGCAGTTTTATTGTTTTTTATGGGTGTTGGGTGATTTTCAGGGAAACCTTGAGTAATTCACGATGCAACCTTAAGGGAACCCGGTTTTGCATCACAGAAATTCCGCATAATAAAACAAACTCAGGAGCAGATTAGTTTCTTTGTGCGGGGACCCATTGTACAGTATTTGTCTCTAATTACAAAGCGCTGCTTGGAATCATGGTGTGGCCCTTATCCCTTGACTTGAATACGGTACTAATGTAGAAGATGGGAAAATCCGTTTCTGCGTCTCCCGCGATTTTTCCTCCGGGAGGCATTTTCAACCACCGTGGTTTTTTTTTTAACTTTTCATCTCTTCGCTCGGCGTTTTATTCATCCTGGCATTTTCGCTTGAACAAGATTTATTCATCTTTTTTTAGCGGAAAAATGCGACTTCTGGGATCCCCTGATGTCGGAGGCCTTGTCGAACCAGCTGACACGCACGGAAAGGCTAATTTTCTCCTCAGTCCGGTCTCCGGCGGCGCAAGAAAATGGAGAACTTGTTCAGAGTCCCTCGTTGCATCCCGCCGTCGGTGCTTCGTTGATGCATCCATTTTTCAGCCAAAAGAGCTGTAGTTCCATCACGTTCACTGGAGAGGTTTGTTTTCCGAAGGTTTAATTGTGTATGCGTGGAGTCGATGACAATAAAATATCTCTCTCTCCTTGTTTCGTTCTTGTAGGTGATTGGATCTCGGTTGCAGTCCGGATGCAAGATGAGTTTAGTACGCTGGATGCCCCATGACTTGTAAGTGGTCTTTCTCGATCTGTTTGGAAATTTCGAAATCCGAGCTTTGATTTTAGCTTTTCTTCTTTCTCCCAGTGAGACTCTATACCCAATGAATATGGTTCCTATGCCGATTGAAATTGAATTACGGAAATAGCGAGGGTGGTATTTGCACTGAACTAATTCTGCTACTTCACCAAACCAGAGATACAGTACTGCAGTCAATATTTTAGCTATGACAATAAAAAAAATTCTCATTGAGAGAATGCACAAACAAACAAAAAATCACTGCTGGGAAAGTATTGGAAAAAGCAAAAAATGTTTGACTACTTTACTTTATCGGAAGTGTTCAAATCAAATCTAATCCGAAAAATCATTGAAAGAAAAGCGTTGAGATGAATTTTACTTCCCATCATCGAAATGCCTAATTTTGACCTCAATTGTTTTCATAAAACGTGGTGCTCATCATATTTCATTCCTACTAGTTCTTCTGATTAGATTTTAGCGAATGAATGGGTATTTCCAGTACACTGCATTTTTGGGAGTCATTTCAGGAATTGACTCCAATCGTTTAAAATGTTCATCTTCCTTGTTCAGTCGATATCTTTCCAGGTTTTAGAATGCTTGATTTAGCTCAGTTGATAATCACAAATCAATTTAGCGTCTTTTTTTTTCTCAAGCGAATCATTTAGAAAGGTTGCGTTTGTTATGAAGACCATGACTTGATGGGCGATTCTCATGTCTCTTTTTAGTTAGGTTTGCACGCTAGTTCATTTTGATGACCCATGCTTTGGCGACATCTACTCGCGAAAAGAGTAGTTCATTTCCATCATCATTTGTGATCCTTCTTCGTATGCGAAATACGATTAGGGTTTTGACGAATGTTTGGATTTATTTTATTTTTTGTAAGTAAGAGTGCGAAGATCGCAAGTATTCAGGGTTCCTCTCGTAGATGTCGCTGGTGCATGCATTCAATTTGTCTTTTGTGGAACCAGTAGCGCTTTTTGGACAGTTTTTACGGAATACGTGTTTCTCTCAAGAGATCGATCTTTGTATGTACCTTGAGTTACAAAATTGGGAGATTTTTGTCAATTTTTACAGATCACACTGCTCGAGTACTTTTTATGCATTAATTTTCCCCTCGATTGTGCAAATGTCACTTCATTGTTCTTCCCCATCACTGATGATTCTATAATACTGTACTGTATTCATTTTCTCTGGATCAGCGGAATTCCGGAGCAAGTGTTGAAATTTGCTGTTCTAATTTCGAAGAAAACAGGCTCGTGCAGTTGCACGGCTTGAAGCTTATTTTTTTTCTTGTCTAATTTTCCGTTTGCATCTTCACCAGATTACCCGACGAGTGGATGACAGAGGCTGAAGTAGCAGAGAAAGAATTGCTAGTCAAGACCGTGCCCGTGGGCGCCCTGTCCACGCCGGCGTTTGAGATCTCTCAACGACTGCTGCTGGGACCAGCCGTCCAGAAACGTCTTCGACCGTCACGGAGGAAGTGACGTCGGACCCCGGGCCTCGTTCTATGTCCAAGTGTTCCATGTTCGAGGGGATAAAACAAAAAAGAAGAAGAAAAAAGGGAGGCAACTCATCGCTGCCTTGTAATTCGTTCCTCGTTGCGCTCGCGTCCTCCCAGGTTGTAGGGCCTTACAGTGCTGTGATCTCTTTCTCTGGCGTCTCGATGTTTGCATGTTGATTGTATGTTTCCTCGGTACGCGCCGACTAGAGTCTTCCGTCATCCCCCCCGTAATCGACCTGCTCGTCGTCGTCGTCATCGTCGTTGGTGTGCTGATGGTAGCGATTTTTAATTTCTTTTTTGGTAGCCTGCGAACGGCCTTGCTCCTGTTTCCATCCACTGCCGCTATACAAATGATGATCTCGCTGGGTACTCTTCGTGTGAGTGCTGCCAGGCCACGAGATCGACCCCCGCTTCGTTTTCGGTCTTCGCGTCTTGGCTGTGATAGCATTGCCGGCAACGATTTCGTTTGGTCCAGTTTTACTTTCGCTTCGGAGAGTACCTTTCAAACAGCTGCGGCTGGATCAAAAACTTTTTTTGTGCAGAGGAAGAAAGGGAAGGAGAGAAAGATGTTCGATTACAAATCCGTTCGGAACTCGAGAAAGTTGGATCTCTGCTTGAGGGGGATTTCCTGGGATTTTGCTAGAAAGAGTGAATTTCTTTTTTGTTTTGGTTTTTTTTTTCCTCGAGGTATTCTTGAGCCAAGTTGGGGCCCGAATTCGCGCTGTGATTTTATTGAGCAGGAGTCGCGGCGGTAGAATCGAGTCGTCGTGTGATAAAAGCTTGGACGAAAGCAATCTGGCCTTGACTCCTCAGGGCAATTTTGACCTTTTTCTATGGAAGCGAGAACACAAAGCGAGTTCTCTTAATTTTCGCAATAACTATCTGTTCCTTTTAGGCATTCAGAAAATGCTGTCGATGAGCCAAGATTTCAAAACGAACCCTTTTTTTTTGTTGCGGTGCCATATCATCGAATCCCGGCAACGGCATTACGTAATCGTCTGCCTTCGTTTTTCCCACAAATTTTTTCGTACCGGGGGTATTCGTGTCAGTATTAGAGAGATTTGCTGGGAAATCATGTGGGAGTTTGAAGTTCGTAGTGAGTTTTTGTTAATTCTAATTGATTGATTTCGTGCGATCAAAACGAAAATGGGATCATCCTGCTTACGCTTTGGATTTCCGTGCGTTTCCAAAGTACAAGGGGTTTCTTCAAGTCCTGCAAGTCGAAAACTAATATGTAATGCGAACAAGGAAAACTTCGCTTTAAAATTTTAATTTCTTTTACTTTTAACGCAAATTTTATACCGTATAACCCATTACAAAGATGCAAAGTTTACTTAGATCCAGAAATTATGTGGGAATCCTTTTCATGTTTAGTGTGGACAAGCACGTACAGTAGAACAATTTAAATATTTTTACATGCTTCGGAGTATTTTTATGAGTGATTCTTGAATTTGATCATCAGGGAAATTTCTGTTAACTGACCAAATATTCTCCCCAAAAACTTTAAAAATTGCCTTGACAGTCCGTGGAATGGATAATGTAGGGCATGCCTTTGAGAGGTTTTTCCCAACTTTTTTAATGTTTTCGCGACCGACATGAAGAAGCCCAAGATAAGAAGCACACCCATAGATTTCTGCAAGAAATCATCGCTGTGCATGAAGTAGATATTAAAATCAAGTTGTTTTCATGGTCTTCTGAGTGGAAACGAGGTTTCATGTTTTAACCAACTTGGGTAGCTGAAGAAAGGGATAGCTTTGCTCCTTCGAACCGCAATTACTGTGGGTAATTCGCAAGGCCTTTGAGAAAACCCCTTGTACTATGTCTTCTCTCACTTGTCCTCGCATGAATTTCCTCGAGAAACTTTTTGTCGCCGTGACGTGATTCTCAAGCGTTGATAATGCGTATGGTTTCACCTTCCGCTGATATTTTTGATTTCTGCGATTCCTGCCGCCTCAGGCGTGCGGAAATGCGACGTTCGTGCAGCTTCGACAGAGGGTTTTTAGCAGCTTTATGGGCGTTTTCAAGATCCAAACAGCTTATCTTCGATGTTCGCGGAACAGCATTCGACTGTTGGCTTATGTAGATGTTCAGCCCTTGTTGTTTTTACAAGTTTTCGCGCGTGCGAAATAATCCGCTTGTTTGTCAGAAGCCGAGGCTCAACGTGGGGATTGGTTCTTTTGATAACAATTTCAACCGATCTCTTTTTTTTTTATAAAGATTCGCAATATTTAAAGCCTTGTGCTCAGCTGCGGATGCCTTGCTCAAAATGCCAGACTTTGAAGCGGAAATCAGTCACTGCCATTGAGGACTGTTCAAAAAGAACCAAAATTTTTTCTCTTCGTTTTCTGGGATGATGGCCAGAGAAGGAAAAAGAAGGGTGGGTTTTTAAGAAAAGTAAAGGATTGTTTGATGGAGATTTCTACCTCAGGAAGCGAAAAGTGGAGAGAGGCGTTTGAAAGGGGATTTTTTTTTTTTTACGGAGGAGCGGAACGATAAGGGCACTGCATTCTCGATCAATTCTCTGAACATTGTTCTTTTGTCTCATTTTTTTTAGTGTGGCTCTGATTTCTTTCGTCTGTTTTGGCGCCCGAGAGGGTCGTTTTTTCCCCTCCTTATTGCGGCCCCCTCCCGACCCCCTGCGCGTGTTGTAACGACAATGCTCTGTTATACATTTTTCTGTTTTTTCCATCATTTATACCGTATGTACTTGATGCCTGTACCTTTCGGAAATTCTTTTTGTATGTAAATGGCAAGAATAAAACGTGAACAACTTCGTGAGATGAAGATCCGTGCCGTGGATGAAATTGTGTGGTGTGCATGAAGTTGCGTGTTTTGGGACGGTGTTGGTAATCTTGTCATATTTTTGACCAAGTCTCATAGAAACCAGGGCTTTTCAACTGGTTGATGCGCAGGTATTCAGGGAGAAGGTACCCAAAGTGATTCAGGTCTACCTATTTTGGCCTGGCTTGTTCTGAAAGAGTGGTATGTGTAGTGGGGTATATTCAAATAAAGGAAAGAAGTAACAAAAAAACTTTCAAGTTTGCATATGACCCATGTATTAACTGAAGTTTAACAACAAATTATGTTTTCTGAAAATATGGGATATACCGTAATTAATGTACTTCTCTGACTTAGTTCATATTTTGAAATGTCTCCTTGTGAAATCACATTTTCTCGTATACAGTATTTCAAAAGAAAATTTTTTCACTCATTTTCCAAAAAATTATAAAAAGTCCTCCAAAATTTTCAATTAGTTTTTCCCAAATTTCAGGATGCAGAAAATAGCTCTACCAAAGAAAATTAAACAGAATTGTGTCATTTTGCGTAAAAACGACACCAAAATGCAAGCACTTGTGTTGGTTATGCAGTTGAACCTCCCTAACTTTTTTTTTTTTCTGAAAGCACTGCAAAGAAGAAGAAAGTTGAAAAGCCCTGTCATTCGTGTTCTTTTCTGTGACCTTCTCACCTTGTTAATTTGAAATCTCTGTTTTAATCGCAGATCGTGCTCCTCTGAAGGATTTCTGGGAAAAAGTTTCAGTGATGCATGCATGTGGTCGACCGGTGGGGGATGGTCAAAGGCATCCCAAGCGATTTCAAGCTGGGATTGATGGGAAAAAGTGTATTTTGAACTATTCGAAGGAAGTTTATATGATATCAGAAATATTCTCTGGCAGCTTGTCAGTCAAGGAGCCAGATTTGGGCACAAAAAAATCAAAAATATGTTTAAGATGTTCTGACCGAAAATTCAAATAAAAATATAATGCGCTATCGTCACCTATTTTAGTGCAGTACAGTACTGTAATATTCAATGAAAATTAACTAATGGAATACTAAGGTCCATTCGTATATATATACTGTATTAATAATATGATTTATCCTCGATGTCTGTGATTTGCTGATTGCAATTGCCCTGATGAGAATGCATGCAACCTCATTGGAAAAAGGATATACAGTAGTTTCCTGGAAATTCTTGAATGATTCTTTGTCCAAATGATTTTCACAGCGGGTTCTCTCACAATTTGTGTGGGACAGTACATGTCTATAAAGAGCATCCATAAATATTCATGATACAAGAAGAGGTTTTAAATTTCCGTGGTTATCATGGTATTCTCTGTTGCACAGCTATTACGTAATCGTACTGAATACTAATTGTGTTGATGTAGGGATGTAATCTTCTTCTCCCGCTTTCTGGCCAAATATCGTCCTCGCAAAGTGTCCTTGATATTTCTTTTATTGTTTCTTCTTTGTTCTTTTGTGCATGAAATTCCTCTTCTTCAAAAGAAGAAACCGCCCGCTTTGTGGCTGGTGCTTCTCTTTGTCATTTGCATGCAGAAAACGAACAGGGTTTATTTCTCACCTTGTCCAAGAAAATAACGAGATGGAGCCATTACTGTTTTTTTTTTTAGGTGGATTCAAAGCTACTTTAGAGGTGTTATTGTGGGATTCTATTTGTCAAATATCCTCAAGAAGAGGACCCTTGTTCGCCAGATGCTGTATACCGTCCGTCGAATCCATGAGGATATGCATGGTAAGCTCGTTATTGAGCCTTTTCAAGAATGCACATCATTCGGTACCCATCCAAAAGCTCCTCCCCTTTTTTTATTATTTGGATGAGAGTTTCATGACAGTGTGTGGTGGCCCTGAGAAGGGCTGTTCAGTTGCATTGGTCCTCAAAACTCAAGAGGACTGTAATAATCATCTTCAAAATTTCCTTCTGCTGCCTCTTCCTTGCAGTCACTGCTGCTCTCCGTATCATTTTCTTCTTGGTGTGGACTTCTTATCTCATCTCCTTCTTCCCACAATGCAAGTGTTCTTTGGCCTCACACATTCCCAGTGTCTATAGTAGTAGCTTTTGTGTTCTCAAACGTGAATAAATAGCGATTTTGATATGCCTTTTGACCACCCTTCTTATTTTTGGTGATCTGAAGTGCCCCAGCCATTCGATCAAGAGGGTGAACTGTTGATTTTGCAGAAGTCAGCAAGTAATGCTTTTGACATACACAGAATGGCTGCTGCAGGTGAAGAATCCCTTTATTTACTCAATTTATATGCACTTGGCCTTGTGCTGGGCCTGCTGGTGTAAGGTGTAGCTTACCATCAAGAGTTACAAGAATGCCTGTGATCCCTGATTTTTTTTATGAACAGGGGGTGGGCTTTGGACTACAATCCATCATTCAGCAATAAACATGACAATTGCCAAAATATACGTACACTGTGATACGCGGTATATATTGTAACGAATTGTTCTCATGTTGCATGTTGTTTTCTCAAGTAATACCAGCGTCGACCTGTAAAATTATAATCTCATTTTTTTTGCGAAGACTTTGCCCAAAAACGTATTTCTGCATCCATAAGACCCCTATGCGTAATCTTTTTTTTTTGTGCTAAATTCCAGGTATGGATTCTCTTGACCAAGAAATTCAAGGGATCAGAAAAAATAATTCAGACAGAACTTCGTCGAGAGTAACTCTTATAACATGGGGAGCTTGGAACACGAAGATGTTCAGATGAATTTTTTTAGACTATATTGTTGTAGAAAAGTCCACCTGTGCTCGTAACAATAATTTTTAATGAAAATAATGTGTTATTTAAAAACCTGACAACTAATTGTAACAGGGTTGTCACAAAGATAATTTCCTGTTCAGTATTTTCATGTGATGTACAAGGGTTCTAACAAAAGTTCTCGGAGTAGCCATGAAAATGGCCTACAGTTGAGCAAAAAAAATTTTTTGCTTTAGGGAAAACATATTCTTTGGCACACAAAAAAATATCAGCTCTGTTTGACAATTTTTTTGAATTTTTATTTATAATTCACCCTGGCAGAGTTTTGCTCTCCACTCAAAAGATTAGGTGCCCTTTTTTTGTTGTAGCCCAGCTTTCCCCTCAGAATTTTTGAAATCAACTTGGCATGCTTTATAAGGGTTGCCTCCAGATCTTCCAAGGCAATTCTGCCATTTTCATCAACAGCCGTCTTCACAGCCACCACATTGGCCCCGTTGATGAAATATGCCAAGTTGATTTCAAAAATTCTGAGAAGAAAGCTGGGCTACAACAAAAAAAGGCGCCTCATCTTTTGAGTGGGAAGCAAAACTCTGCCAGGGTGAATTATGAAAAAAAATTTTAAAAATGTGTCAAACAGGGCTGATATTTTTTTGTGTGCCAAAGAATATGTTTTCCCTAAAGAAAAAAAAATTTGTCAGCTCAACTGTAGGCCATTTTCATGGCTACTCCGAGAACTTTTGTTAGAACCCTTGTACATATAGACTCACATGCACCACAATTTTCATGGTTATTTTGTTCCTACATTTTGTACCTACTATAGGACTGTAGTCCCGGAAAGCCAAAAAAATTACATTTCCTCACCCGGTCCTCCTCTACAACAAATTCGAGCACCTCCTCCCAGTATATAGTCGTTCGAATTCCCATTGGCAATAACTGTTAGCAATTGATGCGCACATGCAGCTGGGAACGCGCTGCTGCTGGGGAGTGCGTTTTGCAAGCTCGAGAAATGGGCTCGTCCACGCAATGGGTATTTCTCAGTCAGTGTCCTCGCACGCGAGCACAGGGGTGTCGTAATGATCGAACGTAAGCATTTTTCTCCCTCTTCATATATTCAGTATACTGTACACACGTGTCGGCGTTCGTAAACTCGGGTCTTGGGTGAAGTTTTGTTCCGTGTGTTTTTCCTTCCAGTCTATATACTTCCGTATGTGTATGTCCCGTAAGGTAAGATTAGATTATACCAACGCGAAGCTCGTTCCGCAAGCGCGGGAAATAACGAATGAAGCAGTTGCAACTATAACAGATGGGAAAGCTATCCAGTATTGGGTACGTAGATGATGTGGATGAAGTCGTGTTCGGGCATTTGTTCCTTGAGGTTTTCCGAAGGTGCATCATGCTGTGTGATACTTTTAGGCGTGTTTCTGTGTGAAAAAAAATTCACTAGTCAGTAGTCAGTACTAGTGTAGCTTTTTCTTTGTTTTGTAAGAATATTACCATGAATAATTATAATGCGTCATCATTTTACGTATTTCACTTTCGATCTGAAGTGAATGCATCTTAAAGTCAATGCTGCTGTGTCCATGTACAGTATTGGAGTGTTATTATTGAGTCAAACATTTTAAAAGCCAGATGAACCCTTGCATGAAAGTACTGTACTGTATACGTACGATATTGTACCCGCAAGTCAATTTTTAAGTGTTCTCATTCCCGGGAAGGTGTGAATATTTCACGAATTTCTCTCCGCATTTTAATTTAATTTATAGAATAAAAAATACGTCATATGTGATGAGAGATTCGTCAATAGTAAAAATTTAAGTCAGTGAGTTGTGATAAGGGATAGTCGAAATGTGTTTGCCTTTTTTAAATATAGATCATTCTGTTTTCTCTCGAGGAATGTTAGCATAATTTCCTAAATTTCGGCATGAAATGCGTTACACATTTTGTTTGAAAATAGGATTACATTTTGAACAGAATTTAGAAGCATTTCGAAAGTTTCCTCATTTTTGTCTGCCATTTTTTACTTATGAAATATTTGTTTTCAGAAAATTATAGGAGACATTCTTTTGTATGCAGTATATGAGTATAGTTTTCTTCAAGCTAAATTTTTTTCGCAGTGCTTTAAAAGACAATATGGAATTTAGTTGATCTATATTCGAATTTCCCCGCTGTTCCAAAACTAGAAGGATGAATTAGCTTTTACAAAAATGGAAATTAATAAGAATCACAATCCAGAAGACATGAAATTTAAAGTGGTTTGGTCATTTTGGTGTAATTTTGCTGGTGGCGAAGGCATTTCCTGATTCTTTTTTTTTTAGCCGGTGAAGTACTGAAGTGTGAAAATGAGCACCTGAGCAGTAGAATATATTTATTTTTTGACCAGCGGAGAAATTCTATGGTCAGACCATTCTGAGGAAAAAATCTGAATTCATTAAGTTTGATAGGAAAAAATCGGAATCCATTAAGTTTAACAGGAAAAAATCTGAATCCATTAAGTTTAATAGGAAAAAATCTGAATCCATTAAGTTTAATATTTATTTTTTCACCTGCCGAAATTCCCCCTCACAAATTTTGGCCACTTTTTTTCTGTTGCAAACAGTTCTGATGCTTGGTGCAAAATATGAGTTTGCTGGTTAGTAAAAGGAACAAATTTCTTCTTCCGATTAAAAATGTGCGATACTTTCCCCCGTAATTTTAAAGCTATGCCTTTATGGTGAAATTTTACATTAGAAATTAATTTAATTTTCAGTCTACCCTGTATACCAGTATTTTTCGTATGAAGTACTGTGGGGCAAGTGACGGTGCATCGTAAATTTCTAGTATTCGATGCATTTTCTTTTTCACAGTTCGAGTTGGAAACTCAAGTGCGTCTGAGAATTTTTGGTGCCGTTAGATATATTTTTTTAATTTTTTTATTCGCAGTCCAAAGACTGGAAATACTGTATACAGTACTTCGCAACGTGGAAAATTTATTGTCTTTTTGAAAATATGTGTAGTTGTGCACTTTGTCTTTGCATCGTTTGATTTCAAGCAAGTGTCTTGCACATGGTGATGACATGTTGTGTCCTAATAGTTGCCGACAGAATTTCATTCAGTTAGACGCAGAAATTCCAGGACATCTTGGAATCTAATATTTCGTGTATTTGCATTACATTTTTACTCTATTTCACTCTTAGGCGTAGAGTATATTCCTGAATCCTGATGAAAAAGTAGCCGAAAGAATGGTTCTTCAGTTGTCCTTGGGTAAAGCTGGCGGAGTGAATATATAACGCCTCTTATTCGTTTAATTCCTTCTTTTCCTTTATTTGCGCCTTTTTCTCTGAGTTTGCAGATCGTGTGGGAACCAAATCCAACACGATTCCTCGGTCTTTTCTATTCCCGAGATTGCCAGGAGTGAAAATAAGAAAAGGGATGTGGGGGAAAAAGAGTTTCTTGGTGGTTACTGGTGCGAGTCGCGGGATCGGTCGTGAAATCGCCATAAAGTTCTCCTCGAAACTGGGTGCGGGTTCGAAAGTCGTTTTGATCGCTTAAGAAAAGGGATGTGGGGGAAAAAGAGTTTCTTGGTGGTTACTGGTGCGAGTCGCGGGATCGGTCGTGAAATCGCCATAAAGTTCTCCTCGAAACTGGGTGCGGGTTCGAAAGTCGTTTTGATCGCGAGAAGTACTTCTGGGCTTCATGCCACTCGTAACCTGATACTTGCCGTGACGAACAAAACTGCAAATCCCGTCGGTGTGACCGTGGCCTCGGTGGACTTGTCCAACTCTGCGGGCATCGAATTCAACGACATTATGGAAGAAGGCTGCGACTTGGATTCACCCGAGACTTTTGACAGCGCTATCATGGTGCACAACGCAGGAACACTCGGCACAGTGCACAAAAAGGTGAGTGCAAAAACTTCCTTTATGCTCAAGTGTCTTTGGTTATACAGTATACTGTAATGCTTTGATTTTTTTTTTCATGTACTAAAATGTTCACCCCCAGGTTTCATTGATTCAACATACGAAAGCTTGACGAGTTTTCAGTTTGCCCTAGACTTTAAATTAATTTCAATTTTAAAGTCTTCAATTTCACGCACAATCAGCTTTTTTTTTGCCTTGGGATTGCAAGGCTTCTGAATTCACTAGTACTGTACATGTAGACCTCAGGTATGCAAGGTCAGGAAAACGTAGCACAGGTACAGTACACAGTACTTACAAGCAACGCTTTGGTACAGTTAGATCATGGACATTTTGGTACATTTCAAACATAGCACAATTACCATATTTAACCAATTAACTGCCAAAATTTTCACACACCCATTTTGCATGATTTCCCTTCATTCATGCCTTGATAGATTTGTAACTTTTTTAGGAGTTTAAAAGTCAAAATGTTGCTGAATATTTGAAAGCTCAATATGATCCCCAAAAATGAGACAGAATAATTGCATATGTTGTGATCAATCAAAATGCAAATAAATAANATCATGGTGCACAACGCAGGAACACTCGGCACAGTGCACAAAAAGGTGAGTGCAAAAACTTCCTTTATGCTCAAGTGTCTTTGGTTATACAGTATACTGTAATGCTTTGATTTTTTTTTTCATGTACTAAAATGTTCACCCCCAGGTTTCATTGATTCAACATACGAAAGCTTGACGAGTTTTCAGTTTGCCCTAGACTTTAAATTAATTTCAATTTTAAAGTCTTCAATTTCACGCACAATCAGCTTTTTTTTTGCCTTGGGATTGCAAGGCTTCTGAATTAACTAGTACTGTACATGTAGACCTCAGGTATGCAAGTTCAGGAAAACGTAGTACAGGTACAGTACACAGTACTTACAAACAACGCTTTGGTACAGTTAGATCATGGACATTTTGGTACATTTCAAACATAGCACAATTACCATATTTAACCAATTGACTGCCAAAATTTTCACACACCCATTTTGCATGATTTCCCTTCATTCATGCCTTGATAGATTTGTAACTTTTTTAGGAGTTTAAAAGTCAAAATGTTGCTGAATATTTGAAAGCTCAATATGATCCCCAAAAATGAGACAGAATAATTGCATATGTTGTGATCAATCAAAATGCAAATAAATAAATAAAAAATATGCAAATACAGTATATTCTGAACTAGTCTGACTTCAGGGAAATACTAGAATTTTTAACTTTGCTGCAGTAGAGACTACTTTTTGTGCAGTTCAAAAATTGTTCAAATTTTCTAACAGAATCTGTGAGTTGGGTTTAGAAAACATGTTCCTGTTCAACTGAAAATATTGTCAAATAAGGTGTCTGCTTGTAGAAAAATTCTTTGCAGATCAAATCCACTTTTTCAACTATGTTTAATTTAGTTTGTGTTTTTATTTGGCAAAAATACCTCAGTCCCAAATGAGGTCCACTGCAAGGAATGGGTGCAGCAGGTTTCCATCATAATAGATATATGTATAAAAATAAAAATAAAATATTTGCATGATTAGCAGGTACAAAATTTTTACAAATGTGAATACATTTTGGTGCGCATGGTAAGCAATCACATGAAGGACATTTTGAATGTTCAACTTTTTCAGAGACAAATTAAGTTACTGGAAAAAATTAAAGCAGCCGCAATTTGACGTTGATGATGCTGTAATATGAAAAAGAAGAATGAATTATACGTTTGATTCATGTTCAACTTAGGTGTAAATTCGATTTTCTATGCAGTTTATTATTTCAACATTACAAATTTCAGATAACTTGAAATTGAGATGTTGAGCATCTTAATAAGGGATACATTTTTCTCCAAATTTCAAGTTTAAAATTTAGCTGTGCTTCTTAACTGGCGGGGAATGCATGGTTAATTGGGTGAATACGCACAATGGCAATAGTGTACAGTCAACCCTTGATATAGTGCCACCCCTGCTGAGTGCCAAAAATTTGGCATGGAACAAATCTCCCTGTACTGTATTGTATTCGTAAGGGAAACCCTGAGTTAGTGCCAGAAGAAGTGCTTGTCCTGGATGAAAAAATAGCCCAAAATCAGAGAAATCCACGCATTTTTTCTGAAGATATCATTAGGTTATCCTGGAGAAGCTCAAGCCCATGCTCAGGGTAATTTGGAAAAATTGTACAGTACATATGAATTTACATTCAATTGAGTGTTTTACTTGGATGTTTTCTACAGCAAAAAGCATCTCTAAAATAGTCTCTTTGAAAAACTTGAAAATTACTTCACCTGATCTTGGAATTGTGTGCTTTCATTGAAAGGTTATTGTTGCAAAAACTACTGTACTTCGAATCTCTCTTTTTCTTCATAAGAATGAGAGATGTTCTAACTCAAACAGATTAGCCGCACATTTTCAACTCACGCCCAATCTCCCAATAAGAAAAGTTAAGGTTCAACCACCTAGTTCCAAGCTTGTTCCTGGACTCGACGACCTTCCTTATGATGCTGAACGTGCACAAGAGGTGGTAGCGTGACTTGCGCCGCAACAAGTTTCACAAAGGGCCGGAAGTGAAAAAGACACTCGTGAATATAACGAGTCTCGCGGCTCTGAAGCCATTTCCCGGCTGGTCCATGTACTGCTCAGCTCGGGCAGCCCGCGAAGCTCTTTTCCGCAATCTTGCCGCCGAAGAGCGCGACGTTATGGTCCTCAACTACTCCCCGGGGCCTGTGGAAACAGAGATGATGACGCAGGTAACTGTGCATATATACGAGTGTTCTGTGGCATTTGGGGTGGGTTAGTTGAACGATGGATGCAGTATGCGGCCGTGCGTTGAACCCGGATAACTTGAATCTCCCTGAGTCAAATACTGTACTGTGGAAACCCCGAAATGTAGACATCCTTTGACTGGTACTTGGACCTATATACCTTATTGTCCCCATGTGTCAGATCCTCTGCATGTTGGATCTTGTTTTCCTATAGACTTCAATGCAAACATATTCAATTGGTTCTCATGTTTGTCCAAAATTAGGAATAAATCTCNATCCTTTGACTGGTACTTGGACCTATATACCTTATTGTCCCCATGTGTCAGATCCTCTGCATGTTGGATCTTGTTTTCCTATAGACTTCAATGCAAACATATTCAATTGGTTCTCATGTTTGTCCAAAATTAGGAATAAATCTCAAGGAAAATTGAATAAAAATTGTTTCCCTCAACTTCAAGATGCAGTAAAATCTCATTACAACAAATCTTGTTGTAACAAATTTTTCATTGCAACAAATTTTTCTCTTGGTCCTGGCAGTTTCCCATAGGCACAATGTTATAAAAATCTCATTTAAACAAACTTAATTTTGGCTATAATCTCATTACAATGCTTCTGCTCATAGGCCGTATAGGGATCATACAAACTCTTTGATAAATGACAGAAAACTTGGAAATATTTTAAACATACAGCATGCCAAATTCATTTTTAAAAAATTCTGCAGAGAAAACTTATCAGTGTTCCAAAAATGCACAAAATCAAACATTTCTTGGAAATTCTTCAGCTCCATTTTAGAAAGTATGCCTTTCTTTGAAATGAACAGTAAATTAAAAATTGCCTTTGTTTTAAAGAGCAGACATAATGGTATGAGTGGATGTGTGCATTACTCAGAGGGAAGTGCAGTATTTCTACCACATTTAATTTTGTTTCATTTTATTTTTCAAGAAAAGCAAAATTTGTGTATTCAAAGGCTGGTTTAAATGTTTAATGAAAGAAAATTACTATTTATTTGAAAATTTTTACCTTATTTCATCAACAATGCCCTCACTAATTAAGATACGTTTTGAATGCTTTGTTTCAGACACAATTTAAGGTAAATAATGCCCATTTTACACAACATTTTCGTCTAAAATGTGTTAAAAACTAAGAATCTCAATACAACAAATTTTTCATTATAACAAATTTTTTAACAGATCCCCAGGAGTTTGTTGTAACAAGATTTTACTGTACAAGAAACAGCTGTAGAGAAAAGAAATCACATAGAATCTGACCTTTTGGCATCAAAATGAGTGTAAAAAGCAAAGAAAAATTGAGCATTAGTCTTGCTATAATGTGCACAGATGATAGAAAAAACTCTGAAAAAAGAAGCTCAAAAACTGCCTGTTTTTTAAAATTATGAATTAAAGTAAATTTATACTGAAATTTATATTCAATTTTTTGATTATAAATAGCATAATTTTTTCAAGATATAAAAATCAAAATTTTAAATTTTTCTGGAAAACCTCAGCAAAGTGTCCCTATTTTGAGCCATTGATTGGATGTAGGGTCAGATTTTTCAAAGTTTCAAGTGTCCCTAAGTCAGTATTTTGAAATCAACTTGTTCAAATGTTTGGGTATCTGTGTGGGTCTCTCTGTACCTCCCTGAGTCAAATTCTTTTCAAGTACCTGTCTGAATTTGTTAATAAGCAATCCATCAAAACCCTCCCTAATACAAATGTATTCTTTTTCAAACCTCCATTACTTGGATGAGGTTTATTACTTGATTTTTCTGGAATCATTTTGTCTCTTACAGTAGAATGTCAAATTGTAAAAAAAATTACAGTGTTTGAAAGGGGTCATCTTTCATGTTCTGGGTCATCTCTTTCGGGTATTTACTATGTACAACTTTTTTAGAACTATGTCATATCGTTACATCTTTAAACGACTGATTCGCAGTCATATACATTTCAATCCCAAATGTTTCTAATTTTTAAGATCACTCAGTATTTCAAACAATAAAAATAAATCTGAGTGGATATACGTAAGCCGTATAAGAAATAATTCCAGTAACTGATAAAATCTTAGTTAGTTCATTTCAGAAGGATAATTATATTCATGCAACGCAGTATATTTGGCCACCATTATTGGACAAAAAATATAATTGCTTTGTAATTGGGACTCATCCACATTATTGAGGCTTGTTCGCAGTTGGCTTAGAACAAGTTCCCCTTCATTAAGCCATTTTGGGGATACGATACGGAATATTTTCTATAAGGCGGCGAGAAAATAATTCGGTATTCAGAGTTGACCCGGTAGCAGTTTGAACCTTATTAAATTGAGAAGAAAACAGTACTATTTGTTGATTTCTAGTACAGAATACATTGTTTTCGACATCCCCTGAGTAGACAAATAAAATAATAAACATTAAAAAATACACTGCGTCCAGAACCTTGTCTCAAACGGACTCTAGTTCTCGCGGTACTTCCTTTGCTGCATCTTGACAGTTGACCAGACTGTCTCGAGGCTTATATCCATCCTGGATAAAGGCATATTCAGCAAGTCAGGAGCTCGGGTTGACTACTTTGATGACATTGTTTAGTTTATAATGCTGCAGCTGCTGCATGTTTGAGACAGTCCATCTGCTTCTTTTTTTTTTTTTTTTGGGTGGATCAGTGATGACGGTAATTAATTGCTGGTGGTGTTAGGTGTTTCCCAATTGGTGGTCCGTAGACCGGCGCTGGTTTGCGAAAGTTTTTTTGCCAGTCTGAAGGAAATTTTCTTCAGCATAATAAATGCATCAAAAGTAGCAATGAAGTCTGTTATCTTTATATGAAATTTTGGAAAGACAATGGCAGTTTAAATTATCTGATAAAAAAAGAAAGGTTGGCTTTTCTCTTAATACACTTTGAACAAATTTCCACCTGCTGAAATAAATTATTTTAATTTTTCATCCTGAGAAACCTTTTTTCATAGTTCCTTTCCTTTCTAATTTTGAAGACAGAATTCCATCACACTTCTGCTTCTTCATTGGTTCTTAACTTGATTTAAAAAAAAGAAGCTTTTTGAATAACTGCCATGAAGCATTTTGAGCAGAGCATTTTTAAGTCTGAAAAAAATGGTATTAAAATTTTTCCAGTCTGCAGAAAATTCTTCGGAAATTTGCTGGTCTGCAAAAAATTAAAAAAAAATTCCCAGTCCGCGGACCAAAAAGGTTGGGCAACAGGATGAACTCTGGAATTTACTGTATTGTTTTCTCATCCGAAACTATAATTCATCAGAAAAGCTTAATTTTTGTTGCTGTTTTGCATTCCAGGCGTTTCTCCGAAATATGGGATGAATTCTGGTCGTTGAATTCTCTTGTTCCACGCGTCTTTGCAAAAAGTGTGCATGAAATCCATTTGAACTCTTTACACGTTTCTTAAAAAAAGAAAACGCGACTCTGCTTGTAGGTATTTCTACGCATTTTCCGGACGAGGGATTTTTTGTGCAGTATTCCGTTTGACGTTGTGATGCAAAATATTGGTTAATAAAGCGATTTGATCATGTCTTATGTAACAAAAGCTGTAGGGGACTCATCTGTTTATTTTATTATTTGTAATTTTTTATGTGACGCAGGTCTTGGAACAGAGTTTGCCTGAGATCAAGAGCGCCATGAAGGAAACGACGATCTTGACAGTTGACCAGACTGTCTCGAGGCTTATATCCATCCTGGATAAAGGCATATTCAGCAAGTCAGGAGCTCGGGTTGACTACTTTGATGACATTGTTTAGTTTATCATGCTGCAGCTGCTGCATGTTTGAGACAGTCCATCTGCTTTCCTTTTTTTTTTTTTTTTTGGGTGGATCAGTGATGACGGTAATTAATTGCTGGTGGTGTTAGGTGTTTCCCAATAGGTGGTCCACGGACCAGCGCTGGTTTGCAGAAGTTTTTTTGCCAGTCTGAAGAAAATTTTCTTCAGCATAATAAATTCATCAAAAGTAGCAATGAAGCCTGTTGTCTTTGTATGAAATTTTGGAAAGACAATGGCAGTTGAAATTATCTGATAAAAAAGAAAGGTTAGCTTTTCTCTTAATACACTTTGAACAAATTTTCACCTGTTATAAATTAAATAAACTATTGTAATCTGTCATTGTGATAAACCTTTCTTCAAGCCTACCTTTCTAATTTTTTGAAGACAGGATTCCACTTCTGCTTCTTCATTGGTTCTTACTTAGATTTAAAAAAAAAAGCTTTTTAAAGAACTTCCATGAAGTCTTTTGAGCAGAGCATTTTCAAGTATGAAAAATGGTATTAAATTTTCCCAGTCCGCAGAAAATTCTTCGGAAATTTGCTGGTCTGCAAAAAATTAAAAAAAAATGTCCCAGTCCGCGGACCAAAGAGGTTGGGCAACAGGGTGAACTCCGGAATTTACTGTATTGTTTTCTCATCCGAAACTATAATTCATCAGAAAAGCTTAATTTTTGTTGCTGTTTTGCATTCCAGGCGTTTCTCCGAAATATGGGATGAATTCCGGTCGTTGAATTCCCTTGTTCCACGCGTCTTTGCAAAAAGTGTACATGAAATCCATTTGAACTCTTTGCACGTTTCTTAAAAAAAGAAAACGCGACTCTGCTTGTAGGTATTTCTACGCATTTTCCGGACGAGGGATTTTTTGTGCAGTATTCCGTTTGACGTTGTGATGCAAAATATTGGTTAATAAAGCGATTGAAGCTCTTATTCGTGCTGTGTGTCAATGCATTTGATACTAATTGACGCACTGGCATTATTGGCGATCAAATTAAATTTTTTTTTGGATCAGAGTCGTCGAATCCTGAACTTGGAAAGAGCGTGACATATCCATCACATGCTGGGTTTCACGCTGGCTTCGAAGAAGTTCCCCATTATAATCCGAGATTTCGTTTTACAGGATATTTTTCAGTTTCCCAGGTGTCGCTGCTAGTCGTCAATATGAGTGAGGAGGTGGCTGCCTCAATCAACACAGCAGGTGTAATTTCGTTGAAATAAGTGAGTCATTCTTGATGAAGATTCTTCATAAATACAGCGCTTCAAACTACGGTCAATACTGCGTAATAGTCAACTTCTCAAATTTGACGTTAGGCTTTTACAATACGCTTTGCTCTACTTATTTTTTGTTTTGAGCACTGCTAAACAGGCGTGTTGGCAGAATCAGATACACTTTACCCATATGGAAAAACACAATATTTGACATGCATTGCAGGACTTCAATATGGTGACTTTTCATCATTAAAGTAGTTACTTATAGATACATGCACAATGAAGAAGTGTATTCAGAGAATTTCAGCTTAAATAATTGATGCATCATCTGCAGCTGTAATCACTATAATAATCAAAAATGTGCTATTTTTCTGTTCCAGAATATAAAATACTGTACAGTAATTGTTGTCCGTGAGATCCTCGACATTGTAAAATAATTTATTTCGCAATGAGCACCATTGCAAGAAACCATCGCACAAGACAAAATAAGTCGAATGATTTATTTTCTATAATATCTATTTGTAATTTTCGCGTGATTAACGTTGAATTACGATTATCGCTTTGTTGACTATCCGAACAGACAGACGCAGGTGAGTTTCCGTGATAGATGGAGTGTCACATTTCCCACCTTTTTTGCGCGGGTTTCATTCCACGCTGTCATTGCTTTGCTGATATTCATGCTGCGTTCATCGGTGTCCCGAGAATATGTTAACAGTGCTTCACAGGTTGACCACGCATATTGAATTTGCGGTGTCGCTTTGCCGCATCAGTTGGCTTTCCGCATCAGTGAAACAATATACCCGCTGTAACGCGCGAGAGTCCTCCAAAAGTCTCCATTGCACTTGAGGATACCGTTCAATTCATGGATTCATGTAATTTTAGGACGAAAGCTGTTCTGATTGCGTATGATATGGTGTCCCAGTTTAAACAAGTATCCTTGAGTCCCCCCCCCCCCCCCCCCCCCCC